ATCAGAAAACAAGGGCACGGAGAGGTTATTTGCCTAAGGAAGGAGCCACAATTCAAACCCAAGCAGTCTGCATCGGCCGCTGTCCTGAGCCACCTGACTCAAGGCTTCGGAATGATGGGAGGGCCGAGGCGGGCAGATTGCTCGAGGTCAGGAGTTCGAAACCAGCCTGAGCAAGAGCGAGACCCCGTCTCTACTATAAATAGAAAGAAATTACCTGGACAACTAAAAAAAAAAAAATGTAACACATATATATATATATTAGCCAGGCATGGTGGCACATGCCTGTAGTCCCAGCTATTTGGGAGGCTGAGACAGCAGGATTGCTTAAGCCCAGGAGTTTAAGGTTGCTGTGAGCTGGGCTGACGCCATGGCACTCACTCTAGCCTGGGCAACAAAGCGAGACTCTGTCTCAAAAAAAAAAACAAAAAACATAGGTTTGCAACTTCTAGTGTGGACAAGAACACTGAGCCTGAGAGGTGGAGAGTCTGAGCTCGTCTGCTCCTACCCAGGTGACCTTGGGAACAGCCATCTCTCCGCTTGGAACCTGTCCCCTCTTCTGTAAGGTGGGAAAGCTATCAGCCTAGTCTACACTTCAGATTTGTAGTAAGGAAGCATAGAAATACATGGTGTCATCATTCAGCAGTGAGTTCTACAAGGAATATTGTCAATAAGTGGGCTCCCCCCTTCTTTGGGGGCTCAGGTGAGTCTCTGAGCTTCACCTCCCTCCCTCTCAGCTCTAGCTTTAAAGGAAGAACTCAAAAGGTCAGGCTTCTACTGGGCCACTCAGCCGTGTGGAGGCCCTTGCACTTCCCAGAGACACAACAGTCAGGACTCACAGTAAGCACAGGCCTTCTGCTGCTCCTTAGCTTTGTGGACTCACTTGGGCAGGTCATTTCCCCTTTCTAGACCTCAGTTTTTTCATCTGCAAAATGGGAGGGTTGGGACTGGACTGGCCTCCAAGTTCATGCCTTGCTGGCGAGCATGTCCAGTGGCAGTGCCTGGTCTTTGTACCTAAGAGATGGGTTTGGAAGGTCAGGGATGGCAGATCCCCCAGGAGAGGCTTGAGTACAGGCAGACTTGGGACACTTTCCCCTGCTCTAAAGGCCTGACTCTGTGTGTGTGCCCATTCTTACTTGTAGAACTCTTGAGCAGAGCCCTTAATAGCTCTCTTGGGAATACTCGCTATGTCGCAGGCCCTGCCTTTGGCACTTTCCTCATGCTCTCTGATTCCCCCGACTCCTCTTTTGTCCTCGCAATGCCACCATGAGCTAGTAGTATTACTGCCATTGTCCAGTCGAGGATACTGACGTTCAGGGAGGTTCAAGGTCTAACCATGTGTGAGAAGTGGGAATGGGTTTCACATTTAGATGTGTCTGAGGAGCCCATGTGGCCTCCCAAGCCATGTCACCTGAGGTGACACACAAACCACATCAAGGCCCAATCATTCAGGATATCACTGCTCCCCCCACCCGCCCACATACAGTACCCGCACCTGGTGTCCATGTGACAGCAGGCAGGTGACAGAGCGCCACCTGGTGGAGACCTTTAGAGATATTTTGGGTAGCTCCATGTTTCACTGGATTGAGCTTGGCAAGAGGGATGCAGTTACCCTGGCAGAGGGGGAAAGATGACAACCAAAGGTCAAGGTGAAGGTCATAAAGAGCCAGGGTTGCAAAGGGCGCCTGAACTGAGGACTGGATTGGGGAGTCCCTACAGCATCTTGAACACAAATGATGAAGCCAATCTAACTTTCTGGAAGCCATTAATGTGGATTTTTACCCTTTATCATTGCAACTCCCGTGACCAAGTAAGGGAGGTCACATTAACTCATTTTACACATGGACAAGATAAGGCTCAGAGAGGTGCAGTGGCTTGCCCACGTGACTCACAAGTTGGTCCCAGCCCTTTAATCACACTGACTTGAGAATGATAGTGGTGATAATAGAAGTGACGGTGGTGGCAGTGGTAGCCGCTCATACTGAGTTTGTAGCAATTCTGTATGGTAGGTACAGTTTCTGTCCCCATTTACAGGCAAGGAAACTGGGCTCAGAGAAATGAGTGAACTTCCCTAAGGTGACACAGCTACTGGGTGAAAGAAAAGGGATTCAAAACCTAGCAATGTGACTCTCAACCACTGTCACTTCTGGCTGAGGAGCCTCCCTGCCCAGATGACTACTAGGGGCTGCTTTACGCCAGCTCACCTTCCTCTGTCAGTGAGTGAAGCCCAACCCCACATCTCTCTCAGAGACTCACTCACTCTCTGCCATGTGACCTTGGACGAATGTCTTCTCCTCTCTGAGCCACCGTTTCCATATCTGTGAAACACAGAGTTCAAACTAGTTGAGAACTGAGGTCCTGCCATTCCAGATTCCATGAGTCTGTGAGTCTGTAACAACACAGACTTAAGAATTCCTCCTGCCGGGCCTGTGGCTCACGCCTGTAATCCTAGCACTCTGGGAGGCTGAGGTGGGCAGATTGCTCGAGGTCAGGAGTTCGAAACCAGCCTGAGCGAGACCCTGTCTCTACCAAAAATAGAAAGAAATTAATTGACCAACTAAAAATAATGTATACAAAAAATTAGCCGGGCATGGTGGCATGCCTGTAGTCCCCAGCTACTCGGAGGCTGAGGCAGGAGGATTGCTTGAGCCCAGGAGATTGAGGTTGCTGTGAGCTAGGCTGATGCCACGGCACTCACTGTAACCTGGGCAACAAAGCAAGACTCTGTCTCAAAAAAAAAAAAATTTCTCTCCTGCTTGCAATTTGAATTTGTCCTTGAATCAATTACATGAGTGAAATTCTCTTTTTTTTCTCTCTCTCCCTTTTTTCCCCTCCCTCTCTCTCTCTCCTTCCTTTTCCTTCTCTCTCCCTCTCTCTCTCAATTTTCAGCCTAATTATGGTTAACTCTATTATTTAGAGACTTATTATCCAAGCTCATTATGAGTAATTATTCAGTCTGGAGAAGAAACAGCAACACTGCTAGTTTAATTTAATGCTTACCTAGTTCACTTAATTAGCAATAAGTCTTGGCAAAACGATGGAAGTCATGGGGTGCTGGCCAGGCTGGTGAGTGGGGAGAGGCTGTGGACTGTTCTTGGAAAGATAAATAAGGTTCTGGAGTAGAATTGTGAAAGGAGGCAGAGAACAGACTGCCAGTGAGCTGGGCCATGACATCTGTCTGGGTCGAGGCTGGTCCTTCAAAGTGAAAAGCTGCAGATTGCACAGGGCTAGTAGGACAAGCAGCACTTATTATGCACCTGCTGTTTGCCAGACCCTATGCAAGGTGCTGGGCAAACCTTATTTCTTATTTTATTTTTATTTTTTGAGACAGAGTCTCACTTTGTTGCCCAGGCTAGAGTGAGTGCCATAGTGTCAGCCTAGCTTACAGCAACCTCAAACTCCTGGGCTCAAGCAATCCTTCTGCCTCAGCCTCCTGAGTAGCTGGGACTACAGGCATGCCCCACCATGCCCGTCTAATTTTTATATATATTTTCTATATATATTAGTTATATATAATTAATTATATATTCTATATATATTTTCTATATATAATAGTTGGCCAATTAATTTCTTTCTATTTATAGTAGAGATAGGGGGGGGTCTCACTCTTGCTCAGGCTAGTTTCGAACTCCTGACCTCGAGCAATCCACCTGCCTTAGCCTCCCAGAGAACTAGGATTACAGGCGTGAGCCACTGCGCCCGGCCCAAACCTTATTTCTTAAGCCCTATATGTGAAACTTGTACATTGAAGACAGTCTAAGTATTCCTTGCCTTACATAATTCAACTCGTATAGTATGATCTCTTTTCCGTAGTCTTTCAGTAATTTTGATTAGTTAAGGAGGAAGCTTCCCATTTTATACTACTCTGTCTTTTACTTCTCTCACCCTTTTCACAAAGGGAGGTCTTGGGCTCAGGGCTTTGAGCAGGCAGCAGAATCTAGCTAAAAGTCAATGTCATGCAGCTTTGGCTTTTTAAATAGTTTTACTCTACTTATGGCATATGATAGTGGCTGTCACTGTATGGAAGTGACATAAAGTTTCCGTTGCAGTACAAATAAGTGAATTGTCATGCAGAAAAGATATTGGGTAAAAAGAAGGCAAGGTGTCACCCAGAGGTGACAATACTCCCAAGGAGAGGGGAAGATGAAAAAAGCCTCATTCAGGGCTCTTTGGTTAGGGATTATCTAGCCAGGGGTGTCGAGAAGGGCCACCCTCCTCCACTCCCAACCCGGGGCCGGCGCACTTTCCCGTCAGTCGCAGGACATCTGCTAAACCCAAATGTGGCAGCAGAATGCTGGTCAACCCAGGTTCCGGGCGCCTGCCAAGGGATCAGAGTGGTCCTCGGGACCACCTTTCCTAGCCCACCGCAGCCTCTCTCGGTTCCTCCCAGGCACCCTGTCCCAGCCCTTCGAGTCCAAACCAGGACATTCCAGCCCCTCCCTGTCTCTCCTGTCACCCCCACTGCCCCTCTGCCTTCTCATAGACTACCATTTTTTCCCCATTTCTTCCTCCCGGTCCTCGATGTACCAGTAGTTAAACCGAGACCCAAGAAGATGACTCTACAGCAAATAAGAGCAGAGGCACCATCGTTGAGCAATCACGGCCTCCCAGGGTGAGCCTGGTACATCCACGCCTGCCTTGGAGCCTGGCTGGCTGCCAGGGGCCTTTCCCGCACCCTCAGGGCCTGCCGGGCCTGTCCTGTGGCCCATCTGAGAATTGACCTGTTACCCCTCCCAGGAGACTTTGTCTCCTTAAAGGAGAGGCGAAGCAAAGTGATGGTGGCGGGGGGTGCCCACAGAGGTGTGCCCACTTGTGGCCTCCCCAGGGGTCAGGAGTCCTGCAGTCCACACTCCTGTCTCACTCTGCCATGACACGGCCCCCAAGGGACCTCAGGGCCAGCGTTTGGCCCGTTTGGCCCTCCTTGGGGGCTTTCCCACCCCCACCCAGCCCGAGACGGCCCCAAATTGCCAGAAAACAGAAACAAATAGGTTCTGGAGCAAGCATTTTCTATCCGTATCTCAGTTTTATTGGCGGGTTTGTTTCCCGTTGGACCCAGCCAGGCCGCCTAGGCCAGCCTCTTGCTCACGCGCTCGTAGGTCACGTCTCCGACGGTGGAGGTCTGAAAGAAGCAGCGGGACAGAGGGAGTCAGTCCCCACTCCAGGCAGAGGCCCCAAGGGGACCAGGGGGCACAGCCGAAGGAAAACCAGCCACCAGTCCCAGCCCCAGCCCCAAATGGTCAGGAGTCAGGTGCGCCACTCCGCCAGGCCTCAGTTTCCCACTTTGTCCCAGCAGTCAGTGTGCAAATTCAACACGGTGAAAATGCCAACCTGCTATGAGAGGGATGTGGCTCTGGGGTGACAACCTTCCCTCTCTGTTCCTTTCAGTTCACCCCTGCGGCTCTTCCCTTGCTTGATTCCATTTAATCCTCCCAGCAGCCCTGTGAGGCTGTACCCATTAAACAGATGGGAAAACTGAAGCTTAGAGAACTCAAGCAACCCTTCCTAGGCCAAGAGGCCGTACTCCAGCACTGTGCCACATAGCTTTGCGGGCACCTGTCACATGCTTGGTGATGGGACGATACGGTCCCCACCCTCAGGAAGCCTAAGATCTAGTGGGAGAGGCAGGCAAGGGGACGCTGTTCGTTGAAGGCCCACAGCGTGCTCTGCCCTGGGCCCCTGCCATCGAGACCTGCCGCCCTGTTGGGGGATGTGCACCTGTCGTCAGACTCCCAGCAGAGAAAGGGGCACCCCTGTGGGACGGGGTGGGTGATCCCAAAGGAGGCAGGGAGCCACTGATGAGTGAAAGTGGGGAGAGAAGAGGCCGTTGGACAGAATCCTGAAGCATATACTGGATTTGGAAAAGCAAACAGGAGAAAGGGAATTCAGAGCAGAAGGAGCCACGTGGCACAGAAAGGGAGCCGGGAGAGGGTGGGGCCGCTCCTGCAGGGGGCTGGGCAGCCGGGACTAGTGGGAGGAGGCAGTGCTAGACAGGAGCATCCGGAGGAGGTTGGTCCTGATTATAACAAAGGGCAGCTGGTGGGAGGCGATTTGCACGGGGAATGGATGGAAGATGGAGTGGGGGAGGGGTGGGAGCAGGCAGGATGCTGGGGGCTCCCCCTGCACTCCCCGCATAGGGGAGAGGTGAGGAGAGCAGCGAGGCAGGGGTGCTGGTGCTGGAGGCAGGAGGAGGGGTGGTTACAAAATGCACACTCCCTGCTAGTGCAGAAGGAGGGGCACGCCCTTGAAGATTCTGGGTCTATGGAGATGGGAGACTTGCAACCAGGACAGCTCTTCTCAGTGCCCAGTGGGTGTGCAATTGCGTGTGTGTGTGTGTGTGTGTGTGTGTGTGTGTGTGTGTGTGTGTGTGCATGCTGCCCTGAACTGCAGGCACTGCTCACACCACACGGGATCTATGGTCAGGAGCCTCTGGGAACTGAGAAGCAGATTCGTTCTGCTTGGGAAAATCGATGCTCTTGTCAGGCACAAACCTGCTCTATTTCTCCTGCCCTGTGCTTTTCACAGGCAGGGAGCTTTGCTTCTGGGAGTCAGAACCCACTGGCGGACAGTTCCTGTCCAAACGTGTCCCACACTTTCATCAGATCCTCCAAGCGGTCAACTTTCACCCAGGAGAAGAGAGATAGTCACTTTTGTTCTTTTCTGCACGTTTTTCAACACTATATATCTATTAATTTTTAAATTTAAAAAAATGTAAAAGGTGCCAGGCGTGGTGGCTCACGCCTGTGATCTTAGCACTCTGGGAGGCCAAGCCAGGCGGATTGCTCGAGGTCAGGAGTTCGAAACCAGCCTGAGCAGGTGCGAGACCCCCGTCTCTACTATAAATAGAAAGAAATTAATTGGCCAACTAATATATATAGAAAAAATTAGCCGGGCATGGTGGCGCATGCCTGTAGTCCCAGCTACTTGGGAGGCTGAGGCAGGAGGATCGCTTGAGCCCAGGAGTGTGAGGTTGCTGTGAGCTAGGCTGATACCGTGGCACTCCAGCCTGGGCAACAAAGTGAGACTCTGTCTCAAAAAGAAAAAAAAAAATGTAAAGAAGATAAAAGACCTGCTGGCCTGGGAAGAACAGGCAGACAGCCTAGTCCAAAAGTCAGCTGATGGATCTGCCTTTACCGTGCACTAGCTGTGTGGCCTTAGGCAAGTCACATGCTGTCTCTGAGCCTTGTAAGGCTTCTCTGTAAAATGGGAATAATGGGAGGGCACAGAGCCTCTTGGGCTGTGTTATGGACTGCATGTTTGTGTGTACCCCTGCCCCCAAGTCATATGTGGAAGCCCTAATCCCCAATGTGATGGTATTTGGAGATGGGACCTCTAGGAGGTAGTTAGGTCATGAGGGATTGGTGTGCTTATAAGAAGACATGAAATTCCAGGCGTAATGGCTCACACCTGTAATTCCAGTACTTTGGGAAACCAAGGTGAGAGAATCACTTGAGCCCAGGAGTTCAAGGCCAGCCTGGACAACATAGCGAGACCAACCTCTAAACAAAACAAAAAATTAGCTGAGGTGGTGGCATGTGCCTGTAGTCCCAGCTACTTTGGGAGGCTGAGGCAGGAGGATCGCTTGAGCCCAGGTGTTTGAGGCTGCAGTGAGCCAGGTCCCAGCAGCACACTCACCTCCACCAGCTTGTCACCCACAATCTCTGAGGTCTGGCGGTAGTTGGGGAAGTTCGCCACCACCTTCGAGCCCTCCATCTCCACGGTGACCTGGAAGGGAAGCACAACACTGAGCCTGCGCCATCAGGGCTCCCTGTACACCCCCTCTGGGACAAAGGACTTGCCTACAGCCCAGCGAGCTCCTCTAGGAATCTGCCCGCGTACATACAATTACATATTTCCAAAGATAGATACAGATAGATAACCTTAAATAAACCACTTAACCTCTCTGTGCCTCCATTTACCCACCTCTAAAATGGAGGTAGTAACTGTACCTACCTTATAGGTTGTTGGGAGGATTAAGTGACACATGTACAGTGTAGAGAGAACAGTGTCTGGCATGCAATGACACTGCAGTGGCATGCAGTGTCTCTCCCTAAGTGTGACCTACAGAGTTAGTTATGGTCATCAGTATTAAGACAATATGACGCTATCCAAGGATGTTGACTGCAGCATTGTTTGTAACAGTGAACAACCTAACTATCCAACTTAGGCTATCCACCAGTAAATAACCTGAACATCTATCCATGAGGGAATGGTTGAATAAATTATGGCATTTCCATGCTCTCGGATACTGTGTAGCCATTAAAAAGAATAAGGCATGCCGGGCGCCATAGCTCATGCCTGTAATCCTAGCACTCTGGGAGGCCGAGGCAGGTGGATTGTTCAAAATCAGGAATTCGAAACCATCCTGAGCAAGAGCAACACCCTGTCTCTACTAAAAATAGAAAGAAATTAGTTGGCCAACTAAAAATAAATAGAAAAAATTAGCCGGGCATGGTGGCGCATGCCTGTAGACCCAGCTACTCAGGAGGGTGAGGCAGGAGGATCGCTTGAGCCCAGGAGATTGAGGTTGCTGTGAGCTAGGCTGATGCCACAGCACTGTAGCCCAAGCAACAGAGTGAGACTCTGTCTCAAAAACAAAAACAAAAAAGAATAAAAAGAGAAAAAGCAAATTACTAAATTGTTTTCTTTTTGTTTTGTTTTGTTTTGTTTTCTTCGTGGACGAGGTTCTGGGGCCCCAAGAGAGGGGGGCCCCAGAATGCGCCCTACTAAATTGTTTTCTTTCAGCATTCACTAATGGCAGCCACTATGCTAGGTGCTCCTGTCACTTTTCTTTTTTAATCTTCATCGCAGCTCCTCATTTGAGCCAGGGGCTACACCTAGTCCCATTTTGCACACTAGAGAGCTGAGGCTCAGGGATATGAAGTGATTGCCCAAGGCCCCACAGTTGCAGGCGGGAGAGCAGGGTTTCCAATACAGCCTGGGAGACAGCACGACAAATCAGTTATACTCTCCGGAGCCAGATTGCCCGAGGCTCAGATAGTTACCCGCCTCAGTATGAAGGCCTGGGCGTGAAGGTCTGTCCCTGCTGTGGGACAGGTGACAAGCTATTTAACCCCATGAGTCTGTCCCCAGCTGTAAAATTCGGAGAGTAACTGTAGCAGTTTCATAGGATTAACTGCATTAAGGTGAATCAACCGCCAGAGCGGTGGCTCACGCCTGTAATCCTAGCTCTTTGTGAGGCAGAGGCAGGCGGATTGCTCAAGGTCAGGAGTTCGAAACCAGCTTGAGCAAGAGGGAGACACCTGTCTCTACTATAAATAGAAAGAAATTAATTGGCCACCTAATATATATAGAAAAAGTTAGCTGAGCATGGTGGCGCATGCCTGTAGTCCCAGCTACTTGGGAGGCTGAGGCAGGAGGATCGCTTGAGCCCAGGAGTTTGAGGTTGCTGTGAGCGAGGCTGATGCCACGGCACTCACTCTAGCCTGAGCAACAAAGCGAGACTCTGTCTCAAAAAAAAAAAAAAAAAGGCCGGGCGTGGTGGCTCACGCCTGTAATCCTAGCTCTCTGGGAGGCTGAGGCGGGCGGATTGCTCGAGGTCAGGAGTTCAAAACCAGCCTGAGCAAGAGCGAGACCCTGTCTCTACTATAAATAGAAAGAAATTAATTGGACAACTAATATATATAGAAAAAATTAGCCGGGCATGGTGGCACATGCCTGTAGTCCTAGCTACTCGGGAGGCTGAGGCAGGAGGATTGCTTGAGCCCAGGAGTGTGAGGTTGCTGTGAGCTAGGCTGACGCCACGGCACTCACTCTAGCCTGGGCAACAAAGCAAGACTCTGTTTCAAAAAAAAAAAAAAAAAAGAATCAACTATTTAGCAAGTGTCTAGGTTATAGTAAGTGCTCAGCAAATATTAGCTATTTTTATTATCATTACAGTGTCTATTATTGACCATTAAAAACCAGGAGCATTAAATTGCCAAGTCACTCAAGCTCTTAATGCTAGAGGCTAAACTCGAGAGAGGGACCTCGGCTTGGGAGCATTGAGGACATGTTTGAGACAGAGAAGTAGGCAGCAGCCTCTCACCTTGACCTTCTTGCCACCTATGGTCTGTAAGTCACATTCCTTGCCGATGGTGAACTTGTTGGTCATGATGTGGCCCCCGGAGTAGTGCTGGGACCAGGTGAAGTTCTGCCCGTCCTGCTGCACCTCCGTGATGGTCTTGAAGTTGCGGGCCTTTTCGATCACGTCGCTGGAGAGACCTGAACCCGGCGACAAGCAGAGTGGCCATTTAAGAGCTGCCTTTAACCCATGACTTGGGGAAAGAGCTCCCCCCATCCCTGGGGCCTGCAGGTTAAGAACACAGTGCCTGAGACAGATAGTCCGTGCCTTCAAATCCCAGCTCTGCGGTGAGCAGGGTGCCCAGGGCAAGTCACTCCCTCCCTGAGCCTCAGTGTTTCCGTCTACAATCTGGGGATACTAAGGCCCATCTCACAGAGCTGTTGCAAGAATTAAATTCAACTCAGTTGTGTCTTGTGAAGCTCGTGGTACACAATGGGTGCTTGTAAATTATAGCCGATCTTCTGATATTAATAGCAAATAAATATAACAGAAACTTGCCAAGCTCAGAAAGTTCTGGAATGAATGAGACCTTCAAGACTGTATCTTCTAATGCGTCTGTTTTGCAGGTAGGAAATGAAGACCCAGAGCAGGAGGGTGGCTTCCCAGCTTCGTGGTGGAGTTTAATGGCAGAATCGGGTCAAGAACTGGGGTGGGCTCACTTCCAGTTTGACAGCACTGGACTGTGACAGGTGAAGCCCAGTCACTGCCAATAATTGACTGCAAAGGGCTCTTGCCTCTCCAAGGCCCCAGGGCACAGAGGCCCTGGTCTCAGGGCTCAGGACCAGTAGGCAGGCAAGATGTGGCCGCCAAGAGGTAGAGCCTGAGTTCTCTGGGGCTGTCTTCGGAATCTTGACAATTGCACTGTCTCAGACTTACCCCTCGGTCACCTCTCCTAGGCAGGATGTGGTGACACCACTCATCATAGGATGCTGGGTGTTAATGACCTTGGCTACTGACTTGGGCAAGTCAGGCTGAGGCCCCATCCGTAACACTGGGATAGCCCTTGTATACTGCAGACGTTCAATAAAAGCTTTAATGAATGAATAAACACCAAATCTCTACTTTAAACAAGTCTCCACTTCACTAATTACTAGCTGTGTGACCTTGAGGTAGTTACTCACCTTCTCTGGGCTTTTAAGTTTTCCATCAGTAAAGTGGAGATACTAATGTTCTCTAAGTGTTTTAAAGAATGTCTTAGAGTTCTTGTTATCCTCAGAGTCTAGAACAGAGCAGTTGCTCAACAAATGTGTGAATGAATGAATGAAGTCCTGCCCCACTCTACCTTAGGGTTTTGGGTTCCTGGCCCCAAGCTGGCTGTGACAAACCGGCCCCAGGGAAGGCATACTCAGGAGCTCACTCACCCAGGCGCTTCATGAACTCGTCATAATTCTTCTCGCTCTCCATCTCAAACTTGCCGTTGAAGGCCATGGCGCTGGGAGGCTGGAGGGCCAGAGAGCAGAGGGGTGAGGAGGACAGTTGATGCCGAGGGGCCTGGTGTCCTGGCTTATAAACTCTGCTGCCACTGAGGCTCGGCCCCTAAATCACCCCATCCTCCTCTCCGTCCAGCCCTGAAGAGGAAGCTCTTGCTGTTTTACGACATGGGCAGGACCTAGGGGGGCAGAGCCCCGGGGTTATTCACCCTGGAGAAGTGCTGGCTGTGTTCCCATTGCCACTGTCAGCAAAGGCCAGGGCCAGCACTGCCCCGGGTTGGAGGAGTCACCCGGCTCTCTGCCCACCCCTCCCTCCATTCACCCACGCCTTGCCCTCCCACCATGCCCTCCTAGCTCTCATTGTCCCCTGCGCCCCTCACTCAGCAACCAAAGAGACTGAGCACTGCTGCACGTGGGACCCGCACCAAGGAAACGTGGGTCAATGGGACTCGCGCCTTCCCCAAAAGAGCTTCCGGTTTAGACCAGGCACACACCTGCAGAGCTCTTGTGTGCATAGGAAGTGGTAGTGTCCCGGGAGCAAAGCAGATGGGGGGCCTGGGGCCTGGGGAAGGACCAACGGTGTCCAGTGGGGGGCTGGTGCACCTTTGGGGAGGAGGTGGCATTTGCTACAGGTCTCGGAGGGCTTATAGGATTTGTTGGGTTTTTTTGAGACAGAGTCTCACTTTGTTGCCCAGGCTAGAGTGAGTGCCTCGGCATCAGCCTAGCTCACAGCAACCTCAAACTCCTGGGCTCAAGCAATCCTGCTGCCTCAGCCTCCCGAGTAACTGGGACTACAGGCATGCTCGCCACCATGCCTGGCTTGATTTTTTCTAATATACTATTAGTTGCCAATTAATTTCTTCTATTTATAGTAGAGACGGGGTCTCGCTCTTGCTCAGGCTGATTTCGAACTCCTGACCTCGAGCAATCTGCCCCACATCGGTCTCCCAGAGTGCTAGGATTACAGGCGTGAGCCACTATGCCCGGCCTCCAATTTTTTATTATAAATAACTCTGATATAAATACTCTTGTTTACACCTCCCAGTGTACATGTCAGATTACTTACTAAAGTTATTTGCTGAGGATGAATTCCCAGACATGAAATTCCTTGAACAGGGGACTTTTGTGTTTAAAATTGTTATATCTATTACTCTACTGCCTTTTAGACAGTCTGTAACAGTTTACACTCCCACCTAGATAGAGCTTATGAGAATTTCCCTCATTGATAAAAATAATGATGAAGGAACAGGGACAATAGCAGCTAACATTATTATGAGTGTTTATTTGGCAATCTACTGAGTGTTTTATATGGATTATCTCTCTCTTTTTCTTATCTTTTGGAGACAAGTTCTTGCTCTGTCACCCAGGTTGGAGTGCAGTAGTGTCATCACAGCTCACTAAAACCTAACTCCTGGGCTCAAGAGATCCTCCTGGCTCAGCCTCCCAAATAGCTGGGACTACAGGCTCACACCCACCAACACCGGCTGATTTTTCTGTTTTTTTTTTTTTTTTTTGTAGAGAGCAGTGCTCTATTATTTTCTCAAACTAGTCTCAAACTCCGGCTCAAGTGATCCTCTGCTTGGATCCTGAAGGGCCGGAATGTCTCATTGAATCTTCCAACACTTATAAAATATGTAATATTGTTGTTCCCATTTTGCCTAGGGCAAACAGAGGTTCAGGGAAGTTAAGTAACTGCCTGAAGTCACAGAGCCCCCGTGTATAGTTCTTTTTATTATCGAAACAACTTTCAACATCTTTGGAGGATATTTCACCAGAAAAAAATCCCAATAATCCTATAAACCTAACACAGTAACTGTATTTATTTTTTCTACTCTTTTCCTCCCTCTTAACACTATCTCTCTCTTTGCTCATCTTTGCTCTCTTTCTGATCAACTCTATAACAAATATGTAATAACCACAAATGCAATATTGCATTCTGCTTTTCTTCACACAGCATTAGCTGATAAACACAGTCCCATGTTTCTATAAAGCTGTCATGTTGTTAATTGTTTAGAAATGGGTGGCAACAGGCCCGGCTGCAGTGGCTCACGCCTGTAAATCCTAGCCACTCTGGCGAGGCGGGGTGGCATCACTCAAGGTCCAGAGTTTGAAACCAGCCTGAGCAGAACAAGACCCCCGACTCTATAAACAAAAAAAATAGAAAGAAATTTAATCTTGGCCACAAAAATATTAAGAGAAAAATTTAGCCCGGGCATGGTGGTGCATGCATGTAGTCCCAGCCTACTGGGAGGCTGAGGCAGAAGGATCGCTTGAGCCCTGGGAAAGTTTGAGAGTGCTGTGAGTGAGGGGTGATGCCAATGGCACTCACCTCTAGCCGCGGCCCAACAAAAGCGAGACTCTGTCTCAAAAAAAAAAAAAAAAAAGAAAGAAATGGAGGCATAATAGTCACCCAGTGAGAACACTAGCCATCTCTAGCTGCTTGCTGTTGGACTTTTAGGTGGATCCCAGTTTACCCCATTAGATACAGCATAAAACCACAGTAAGCAACTTTATACGTAGGGGTTTTTTTTGTTCTTTTTGTTTGTTTTTTAAGTATAGACATACCTGGGAGACGGTGTAGGTTCAGTTCCAAGCCATTGCAATCAAGCAAATGTCACAATAAAGCCAGTCAATCCAGACTCAATGGTGTACTTCTATAGTCTAGCTACTTGGGAGGCCAAAGTGGGAGGATCACTTGAGCCCTGGAGTTCAAGACCAACCTGAGCCATACAGCAAAACTCTGTCTCTTAAAGAAAAAAAAGAAAATAGCGAGTCACACAAATTTTTTGGTTTCCCAATGCACACAAAAGTTATATTTACATGATCCTATAGTCTATCAAGTGTGTAATAATAGCATTATGTCTAAAAAAAGAATGTATATGCCTTAATTTAAAAATGCTTTATGGCTAGATGCAGTGGCTCACGCCTATAATCCTAGCACTCTGGGAGGCCGAGGGGGGAGGATCACTTGAGCTCAGGAGTTCAAGACCAGCCTGAGCAAGAGCAAGACCCCGTCTCTACTAAAAATAGAAAAACAAAATTAGCCAGTTAACTAAAAATAGAAATAAAAAATTCGCTGGGCATAGTGGCTCGTGCCTGTAGTCCCAGCTATGTGGGAGGCTGAGGCAGGAGGATCTCTTGAGCCCAGGAGTTTGAGGTTACTAAGAACTAGGCTGGTGCCACGGAACTCTAGCCAGTGCAACAAAGCGAGACTGTCTCAAAAAAATAAATAAATAAAAATAAAATATTAACTGGCCTAACTTCAATATTGTTGTGGCTCAAGGAATAGGGAGGCCTGAGAGAGGAGAGAGACGGAGGAATGCTGGAGCACTCACAACACGTACATTTATCGACCAAGTTCAATGTCCTCTGTGGGTGCAGTTTGTAGTATCCTAAAATGATTGCATTAGTAACATGGAAGATCACTGATCACAGATCACCATAATAGATATAATAACAATGAAAAACTTTGAAATATTGGGAGAATTATCAAATCGTGACAGAGACATGAAATGAGCACTTTCCTTTGGGAAAATGGTACCAATAGACTTGCTTGATGCACAAACCTTCAATTTGTAAAAAAAAATGCAATATGTACAAAGTACACTAAAGTGAAGCACAGTGAACCAGAGTGCAATAAAATGAGGTATGTCTGTATTTCTTTGAGCTAAATCTCCAGGATGGGATTACAAAGTTAAGAGATCTAGGCCTGGTGTGGTGGCTCATGCCTGTAATCCTAGCACTCTGGGAGGCCGAGGCGGGCGGATTGCTCAAGGTCAGGAATTCGAGACCAGCTCTGAGCAAGAGACCCCATCTCTACTAAAAATAGAAAGAAATTAATTGGCCAACTGATACATATACAAAAATTAGCCGGGCATGGTGGCACATGCCTGTAGTCCCAGCTACTCAGGAGGCTGAGGCAGGAGGATCGCTTGAGGCCAGGAGTTTGAGGTTGCTGTGAGCTAGGCTGACGCCATGGCACTCACTCTAGCCTGGGCAACAGAGTAAGACTCTGTCTCAAAAAAAAAAAAAAAAAGAGAGAGAGAGAGATCTAAAGCATTTTTTGCAGCTCTTAAGATGTTTTGCCACGTTGGGACCGAATTGGTTTACACCCCACTTACCTGGGTTCTTAATCTCTTGGGACTCAAGGCTTAGAAAATTTCTGGTACTTTCCCCAGACATCCTGCACCTCAACGTCACAAACTGCACCATCTTGAGAATCTATTTCTTTTCCTTTGTCAACATTTATAGTGGAAAGGGTTTTCTATTTGGGAAGTAATAATTCTTCATATCAGAAAATTTGGGAAGAACAAAGCACAAATAAATTAAAAGCTACCTATTATCCTACCAAACAAAATTATTTTTCAATTGTAAAATGAATACATACTCGATGTTTAAAAAAGACAAAAGCATAAGACTATGTAAAAGGTAAAAATCCCACTACATCTAATTTTCCAGAGCCTGCTGCTGTTAAATTCAGTATACGACTTCCTAGATGTTTCCCACATGCACACAAACATATTTGTGCTTATTCTCTTTCTCCGCTGTTCTTTATAACGAAAAGGAAATCCAGAAATCTGTTTTGTTTTGCTTTTTTTTTTTTGCTTAGTCATATATCATGAACATAAATGAGTCTTATTTCTTCGCGGAAACTGGAAAATACCCCATTCGTCATTAAAAAGGGCTTTCCAAATGGACAAATCCACTAATAGAATACGTGATGTCGCCCTGCTCCAGGCATGGGGAAACAATGGAGGTTTTGCCGTCTCCCTGAAAACCCTGGGGTAAAATAATTCTGCAGCAGTAATGGAGATGCAAGTCAGACATAAGGTGACAGCCAGAGGGTGAGCTAGAAAGGCTCAGGGCATGGGGCACAGACTCCTGGAGTCCCCAGTGGTCTCTAGTCTTAGAAGAAGACTTGTAGAACCCCTTGCACCTTGTAGAACCTCTCCTTCATACCTTGGCTTGCCTGGAATGAATGTTCACCTCCCCTCTGTCTTGAACTCTTAATTATTAGTCCTTCCACCTGCACCTCCTCCAGGGAGGCTTCTCCGATTGCTCCAACCTATAGAGACCGTCCCTTACAGGAATCTGCGTGGCCTGTACCATCTCTTTGCAATGGCTCTGAGAGGGCAGGGGGTACCGGGACATTAGAGTCACTCAGACCCC